AACAGGTCTACAAGCCCTGAAGAAGCCCTGACAGTCTACAGGCGGTCGCCTCCATTTCGTCTCGACCGCTTTCAGTGCCGGAAGGTCTAACGGCGTTTCGGTGCTCGGTCAGACCGCGGTCGTGCGACCGTCCCGGACCGACCGGTCCCTCGACCGGCCTCCCGTGACCCGTCCTGGGAGTGCTGTCCGAAGAAGCCGTCCGAGACGGCATGGCCCATGCGGGGCGAGCGGGGCACGTCGCCGCCGCCGTGGCCCTGCGGACTGGAAGAGTCCGAATGGATGGGTCATAGATAGTGTAGGTGACTTATAAGTGAAATATATAAGTGTATGTAGCTTTTCCAGTCCCATGGATGGTCTGGACTATGGTCTGGTTATGGTGGTTCATAGGCTAGCAGTTCCATCCTGATAGGCCAGCAGTTCCATCCAGGTATCTATGTTTTGTTATGAGTCCCACGGTTGGATAGGGGCAACTACCCTCCAACATGGCTGGAAAAATTGCATATACGGAAAAGGGTAGTATATGAATATGTCATCCAATGTGATTGTCGTTTCAAAGTAATTAGATTGCACAACCCTCAAGATGTCCTTTAGAGCGGGGGTAGCGCTGTGAGTGTCCCAACCTGTCGCGGGAACAGGACACGCAAAGCCACTTGCTAGGCAGAGTCCTCAGGGAGAGTACAAGCTCAACCGCTGTGGATTGGACAAACAAGACGAGCCACATCGCCACATCGAACCACTGGTGCTTGGCCGCACGGGAAAGGCGCATAAAGGCGCTACCCCCCCGCCCCCTGGGACAACAGTGGTTTTCACTGTCCAGTCCAGTTGCCTCCGTGGAGGGCAGATGAAGAAATTCGAACCTTCCCCATCGGCTGGGTGAGGCCGGCCCGGCACAAATGGGCCAAGTTGGTGTCCCAACCTCTAAGCTTGGACGCTCCGAACTCCACCTGTTGCAGTCGTGTGAAAGAGAAGACACTGACTGGCCATGGCGTGGCGTGTAGAACCCGTGCCCTTTCTCTCGAGGACGACACGAGGTTGAGGCGCCTGATACATCCGCTGAAGCTTCACTTCGTGCTCCAAGTTCTCGAACAAACGAGCTTGCCTGGCACAGATGTCTGGAGAACTCACCAGAACGAACCCGGAGCACCAGGATGGAGTATAAGGGTTTCTGCCGCCGACAGTAGGACCCCTGAAACCAACCACCTACTGATTAGTGGATGGTCTGAAGGATCAATGTAGGCAAATATTCCAGATCCCCGGATGTTTTGCTTGGATTCCCAGGTTTTTTCGCTGCCCAAGTGAGCTATCTGCCTCTCGAACTGCACGTCCAAGTATCTCCTGGCCGATCGAAAGAGATTTCAGAAGGGATGATTCATTCAGCACTCCCCCCCAAAGGGCAAAAACATGCAAAAACCGTGTTCGTGTCTATACACTGCGAACCACAGGGGAGACTCCGACAGTGGTGCATAGCGTGGTGGAGACCCAAGACCATCGTAACGAAGCAACATTGATCCTGCTTTGTCCGCCACTCTCAAAAATAGTAGTGGATGGCATGCCCCTTGAAAGACGACAAAATCCTCTACGAGAAGGATGTCCAATTATGTCAACTTGAATTTCTGTCTGTGTGGACCGTCACAGCCATTTTGCCTGCCAAAGATTTCCAGTAGTGTTTTCTATTATTGCTCACAGTGACACTGCAAATAGCTATCATACTGAAGTAGGGTTTCTCGATTCACGGCTAGCGGCTAGTTAAGCACTGCGCGCTTCTGTGTCTAAGCTCCCAAAGAATTCCAAAACAGGTCGGCGACATGGATTGGCTCGACAGATCCCAAGCTTCGTGCGGGGTGACCGCTCGACCGACCTGATCAACGTTCGGTCCCCGAAGCAGACTCGAACGCGTCTTCCCGGGTACAGGTGATGTTGTACCTGGACCCTATACTGACACAGTACCTGGGAAAATGGGATATGGCCACCCAAAAAGAACAGGTATACCATGGTAAATGGTATACCCGTTCTCTGAGGTACGAACTGAGGGTGCCCAAACTGGTCTTTGGCATTGATTCGCCGGTTCTGGAGGGGCTGTAATCAACCAAAGAACCATTTGGGAAGACTGCGCCGCAGGGCAGGCTGTGGAGAACAGGAAAATCAGGAGCCAGCAAAATTGAAGTGTAGAAAGAGTTGGATGTGATGATGTGATCATGGGGCAGGGGTGAAGGTAGGCACATATAATTGCCAAAAAAGCGTGCACGAATCCAGTACGCACCGGACATTCTTGCTCGCACCCCAGCGGAGGTCGAAACCGCGTGCGGAGTGTCCTCAACTCGCTAAACTCGTCGTCGCGGAGCTGCGCGTCTTCCTCCTTGTCGCCGCCCAAATCCAACCTGCAGAGCGCCACGGAGCTTGCCGCGATCCAACCGCCGGTGTGGTGAGCCCACCGAACATCGAACGTATAAAACATATACCCAGATCTTCCAACTATGCCAAATTCCAACTATGCCAAACCCGCCAAAACAACAAAATTTGGCATGTTTGAAAGATCGAATGGTATAAAACACGACGTTCGTCCTCAAGTCTAAGACAACCCCCGTGCATAAAAACCGCTCCCGAAAGCATCATGATACGTGGACATTGTCTACCTATCCAGGATTGCACACGAACATGTGAAGTTATATTATGGCTTTTGTGGATCTTACGGGGTGGAGGAAAACTGGAAAGCCCTACACATTCCCCAAACACAAGTGCAAAAAGAAAGAGCAAAAGATGTCGGGAATTGCACAAAACAACGTTTTCAAACTCAAACATGTCAAACAATTTCAAGCAAGGCATGCACGCAGCGTTCGACAATCAATCTTCAACACTATACTGGCTGGTCAAACATCAGCTAGCTTCCACTAGAAATTCTCTGTTTTCCCAACAGGTCCGCAAGCTTCAAGATTCCAAACAAGAATCAATTCTGTGGCAATCCCAGACACCTAGACATCCTGCAGCAACTGGCAGCATGCGCAAGGGCCTAACCTGGTGTCTGTTGCTTCCACCCACAAGGCTCGAGCCGAAACGCCCAGTCGGAGCAACCCGACTCTGTCATGCAGGTCTGTCTCGACCGGACGTTGAGGATGTCCAACCCAGCAACCCACCAAGCCAAGGCCCTGTGCGAGCATCTGTTTCTTGAAACACCAGCTACAGGAAGCATACTAGCAAAGGGCATCGCTACTAGGAGCGATCGGACGCTACTAGGGGCTCCTGGCCTTACTACTAGGAGCAAAGACGCTACTAGCGACTCCTGGCCTTACTACTAGGAGCAAAGACGCTACTAGCAGCAAGAAGCTACAAAAGTGGCCCACATGTCATGCGACTTTCAAGCCGTCTCCAGCCCTCAAGACTTTCAGGGTGGCAACCCACCTCAACATAGTATGTATTCGGTCTATTGCATCAACAGTAACAATGGATGATGATGGTTAGGTTGCAGGCCTTGTTGACAAATAGTGATGTTCTTGTTTACTGACTGTTACAGATAATAGGACAAACCCAAGGGAACACCCTCTTCCACACCCCTCTGAACTTCGTTTGATGATATCCGCCGTGAAATACCCGATACACATTTTGAGTCGACGTCTTTTAGGACATCTCCCAAGATTTGTTGGTGTGCAAGTGAAACCTCCTAGCCTTGTGAGGGCGTGGTCTCATTAACCTCATTCTCCATCATTTGAAGCCCCCAAACAGTTGCGTGGTGCAAAGCCATGTGAATTACACTCCCGAAAACTAACATGGAAGCAAAGAATGGCCCCGAAAGGAAGACCATTAATTCCACTACAAACAGGTGGTGAACTCCACTTCCATGTTAGTTCCAGGGGGAGTAAAACAATCCAAGGTCCTTCAACAAGTGACACAGTGACACCCAAGGATCCGCTGCCAACACATGCTCAAGTGTATGTCTTGAAAGCTGAATGACACGTGGCTAGGGCGAGAAAAAGAACGGGTACTCTCTGACTCACTAACCTGGAAGTGGAAAATGACCCCTTGGAAGACTACTTTCCTTTTCAAACAGGAGGTCAACTACGTCCATGCTAGTGAGTCGGAGTGTACCATCATGTACTAGTACCATCCAAACCCACCTGCGGAAGGAGAAACAATCATAAACCTCCAGATGCCCTAGGAGTAATAATAAGGCGTTCTTTCTTGTCACACATTTTTGAACACACAGAACTGCCGCCTGCATCCGCCTGCCCTGGAAAAATATCATGGGCATGCATTGGACACTGTCCATGGGCCCTATGACAAATGATGTTCCTCAAAACATATCAAAACTAATAAGTATCCAAATCAGTGAGTTTGTGTTGAAGGCCTGTGAGAGTGCTCCAAGTGCCACCAAAAGAACATGGTCCAAAAGGTGCAAAAGACACGAGATGTCCAAAAGGATCCAAAGTGAGTGCTATGAATGAAAGTGGTTGAGATTCTTTTCTTGTGCCGCTATGGGCGCACCGCATCGGGCAACAGCTCTTGATGGTCAGCTCTGTTCGGGTGCTTCATCCCGTCGGAACACCCCATGGACGAGGTCCGGAGCGCGCAAAGGCATGGGGCGCGGATTTGTTGCAACATGAGGGTTTCTTTGGGTGTTTTTTCGAGGTGTTCAAGGTATATACTAGGAACACATATGGAAACAAATCAGAGCCGGACAGGTTCACCAAAAGAACTCCTGATGCTATTCGATAGACATTTCCCAAAACATCCAGGCAAACCACGAACGTTCGCTGGGAGTCCCAGTGGTGCCAAACACAATGACCGGACCGTAGAGGTAAAAACCCTGGTTTGTGGTGGCAACTGGGATCTGCTGAGTCTTACTTCCGCTGGAAAAGCAGGATTTCTTCTCCCAACAACCACGACTGCGAAGTGTCTCCTTCTTTTGGGGGGGCTCGCCGAATTTCCAAACACGGACGCCTCAAAAAACAGTCAGCTTAAACCATATCACATCGCCTGCCAAGCCCGTGAAACGGCGGGGCCCTCTCCTTTGTTGCGCTTCTGGAAGGCCTCTTTGGCCTTGGCTTCCATGTGGGCCTTGAAAATGCCTGGGCGACCGAGTGAGGACTGACGAAGCTGCGAGCTTTCACACCAGGAGTTTCAAAGGGTTCTATCCATGGAGGGTTCTATCCATGGAGGTTGGGGGTGCCCAAAGCATCTGAAACAACCACCCCTTTGTGACCCCATCCATGCAAACTCTTCCAACATGGAATGGTCTGGGGTGCCCAAAAGGCGCAAGCATACCAAGCTGCATGTGTTGTATGTTTTGGTCTGGATGTCACACCAACAGGGTCGGAACTCCATGCTCCAGCCACTTAGACCTTCAGGTGAATGGTGCTTCTTCCCCAGACCCTCATGACCTCCAGACCCCCCATTTGCGTTCCGGAACTGACCAACTCCGGCCAAGTCCTACAGAAATCATGACCTATTGAAACCAGCTGCTTGTCCTACAGGATCTGTAAATCAGGCTTTCCCAGATCACCCAGGCAAGCAAAAAGTCTTTGCTGATGAGACCCGGTGAGGTCTCGTCCTGCACCGGTGTCACCCAGACCACCCGAAGAAATACTGAACCCATCGCCCACCAGCTGAAGCAGCTGCATCGCGCTTGCTCAAACACTCCATGTATGGCATACAACATTATGAACACCCCAATGATGATTTCAATTGACTATAACACAATTAGATCATCATTGGGTTGTTTACCATTGAATTATCTATAATGCGTACATTGACCCTTGAAATATCTGGACATCAACCACCCCCGGAGTCTCGGCCGAGACTCCTGGGAGTCTGGGAGACGCCAGCCATTTCCGGAGTCGCTACGCCACGGAAGAAGACTGACCTCCATCCCTCATTCACCCATTCACCCCTCAAATCCCTCCTTCATTTTTTTGTCTCCTCTTTTGGAGTCATACTACATCTTAACCACAAAGGGATATGCTGAGAAATCCTTCCATCATGCCACTGAATCTCCCAATGTCACCACACGACATACCCCCGCCTTTGCGGAGCGTATGGACCCTGAGAAGAAAAACCCATCGTTTCGCCCTTGTTCCTTCTACATCCTTCTACAACCCAGTGGTTTTCTGGATCCATGTGCCTCTGCAGGGCCGATTCAAACCAAAAAAACACCTCCGCGACGGCATCCAACGGCTCTTGGTGCTTGGCTCTTGGTGCTCGGCGGCTGCGCAGGCTCCGCAGGCAGCTGCTTTGTGGGCTTGGACTTTGTGGAGGTCGTCGACCGTGGCGTGTCCTGGTGCAAAGAGATGGGTCTGATCCAGCTGATGGTGCTTTTCGAGTCAAGGAGCAAGTGAAGAAAGTAGTCAGGGGGCTTGAAGATGAGGATACACACGGATCATATTAATATACTAACTACATAAATATCTGGATGGTTGTTTCTGACTCAATTGAATAGCATTACAGGATAATATGATAATACAAGTATAAAAGGTTGTACATAAAAAGTCACTGAAACCGCCACCCACACACCAGGGAAATTATATGCAAACATCGATATCCTTAGGTGACTACCATTATTGTGACTTCACCGCAAAACGGCGTGTCAAAGGAGACGCCCCCAAAAAACGAATTCTGAGCTCATAGGTGCAATTGTGCATCTCAATCGGAGCTCCCAATCCCATTAACTTGGGCGCTTGGGCTCCGCTCACACACCCTTCCCGACACCGCCTCGCCGCTGCTATGGACGGACTTGGCATCGCTCTTGGCGTCGCTGGGGCGTCGTGACTTGTTGGACTTGGAGGACTTCACGGACTTGGCCTCCGACGGCCGCCGCTCGTCCACCAAGGGCCGCGTCCTAAGCGCTTTTCAGCTCCCAGGATTTGCTGATATCTGATAGCTCTGGTGTGACAAGAACAAGGCGCATACCTAAATAGTATATATCATAGTATAGATAGTCGATAGTGCTAAGTGCATCTAAGATCATCTAAGTACCGTGTATTTGTGGACTTGGAGGGTCCGGTCAAGGAAGCCACCTCTTGAACAACTGAAAAATAGAAAAAATCAATCTTTCTGCCAAGTTGCTCCACCGCCATCAGCTGTGACAAGGGTGATAAAGGCGTCTGGGGCGGCAAAGGCGTCTCCGGACGGCTCTTGCGTTGTTCGAAGATTGAGAGGTCCAAGCCGGCACCTGGAGCGGTTGAAGCGTGTCGTCTCTTCATCTGGTGGAGGGGGGTCGAAGCCTCTCTTGGGCTCCAACAACCTCCAAGAACAAAAGTTGTTTGGGGCGAGTGCCAGGAGGGCCTACCTACCTTCTGAGGAGGTGGTTGCCCAATGGTCGGACTAGAAGAAACCAATTTGGTCCTCTGTTGGTCCTCCTGCTTCTACAAGGTCTCTTGCATGATAGGATTATTTGATGTTGGTCCTCCTGGTCCGACACGTGGACCATCAAGGAAACTCGACCATTGACCATCGTTCGGACCCAGGTTGGCATCCTGGAACGTTGGGAGAGTACCATCAATTGGTATTGGTACACTTTAAAAAGATCCCAAAAAAGGTGCTGAAGAGTAACAGTGAAGGTCCAGTCATCCAGCCTTTTGTCCGCAAATTGGCCAACAAATGTTTTAGCACCGAGAACCCAGCCCAAGCCGGCTGGTTTAGAAAGATGATGAAAACGGGTTTCAAAGCCAAGGCTGACAACTCGCTGAAACTCGCATCGCATGCTGAACCCCTTTCGTTCAACCCGACTCCAGGGACTCAATAGGACCCCTGATGACCTGGGCACTCCGCCCACACGGCGTCCGCACTCGTGGAAAAAAAACAGGGACCCAATAGGACCCCAAAAAGCTCGGAAGCTCGGACCACCAACCAGTGCCCACAACACCAAAACCACACCTCCAACCCCACCACTCGCAGGACCTCGCATCTTCCTGTCTCACCGTGTCGACGTGTCTTCCTACGGGTCCGGAACGGTAGACTCTGTGATTCTTTTTCAACCCCCCAGAGATGAAGAGGATGTTCCAATTCATTTTTTGGGGGGCAGAAAACAAACCCATCAAGAGTCGACATGAAATGGTTCGCCCTCCTCTCCCACCGAGCTGAGTCTCCCACAAACGCCCGCCGACATGTGTCGATCCTTTGGGTTCAACGCATTGGTTTCCTGCCGGCGGTGCGGTGTCCAAGGTCCCCGGGCGCGGTGGCCGAACGAATGCCGCTCCAAACGAAACAGGCAGCTGGGTGGGTCATGGGTTAGAACAAGTACCATTACCAACATCTCAGGTTCAACTACCCGGAATCTAGCTCCAATTTGCATGTAACATCAGTACATGTGGTTTGGTAAGAGTTAGGTCACACGTCCGATTTTTCATTTTTCATATATGGTCTTAGTTTGGAGACACCAGGTGCCGGTGACCGTGCCGCTTTTTGGGGTACCGGTCGACCGGTACCGCCCAAGCCCGGTCGCCCGGGTCCGTGGAGACCTCCGTGATGAAAAACGAATGGTTTTGTATGACCATCTCCAGTCAGTAAAATGAGGTAATGAGGTCGACTTGACTTGTAGGGCTGGCATGTGGCATCATTGACCGATCAGTTGGTTGAACTGGGGGGCCAATGGAAGTCTTCCAGTCCCTTAGAGTGTCTGGGGACTTTACAAAGTCGAGGGTGCGGGTCACGACTGACCAGGAGACCCTGAAGGATGTCTTTGGAACCCAGGTGGGTTGTACGGTCAGGTTGGTAAAACATGCCTCACATCTTTGTGGTTTGTACGTCCCAACCCATCCATGGGACTGGACATACGTAGTTTCTGATCCATTAATGACCCGTCCCATGTGGTCATAACATGTCAGAACTATTCCAGTCCCATGAATGGCCTGGAGCGCACCAGTTGTAAACTCATCACTCTCATCACATCTTTACCACCAAAAAAATATATACAAATGATGCAAATATGTGCACTATAGCGGATCTTAACACCCCAGGTGACCTTTTAACGGAGGGGTTCACGTAGAGGAGGGGTCCTTCTTTGAAACATATTGAAACTGGCCTTGTGCCATTTCGTGTCACCCAAGTCGAATTCTATAAACCCACAGTGCAATGCCTTTTCTACGACCCATGGGTGACTCCTCCACGACCCCCACGACCGCGGCGTCGCCTCGCTCACCCCGCTGATGCCGCTGGCATGCGAGTCGGCGCGCGAGGAGCGGCGCGAGGCGCGAGAGGTGCGCCGGCTGGGCTTCGAGGACCGCCTGGCGCGCGTGGAGGGCGCCCGGCGCCCTGCAGAACTGGATGGCTCTATGTGGAGAAGCTTGTCCCGAACCCATCGGGCCCGACGAGCTTGTATCGAACCATCGGACTACCGCATGTCCTTTGACCCATGTTTTCTGAGTTACGAACTAAGGGTCCAGGTAGGCACAAGCTTGGCCCAGCTTGGGAGTTTGACGAAATGTATTTTCGTAAACGAAAACTCCTATAGAGCTGCAGTTTGTTCAGGAAGAGGGGCTCAGTGTCGAAAAAGACATGACTCCCCTAAGTGAAGAGAGACTGATCCAGGTTACGGTTATGACCTGCAGTGGGCCTGTAGTTGCATGATCTGCAGTGGACACATGTAACTCATTGATATTTCAATTACCCACTGCAACAAACATGGAAGTGCATGGCGCCTCCTGTTTGTATAGAGGAAGCATTTTTGCCGGGGGACATGGTCCACTTCCATGATTGTTGCAGGGAGGGTGCAATTCCCAGGAAGTCTTCACATCCGATTTGCACTTGAGGATTGATGACGCAGTGAGGCTCTGGGATGTGATGTAACAAACTGAGATCTGTCAGAGTTATGGCCCAATAACGGTAATGATAGAGGAGATCTGTTGTAGGATCTATTGCATTGGTCCAAAGGATTCCAAATCACAGTCACACCCCATTCGGTCCCAATCAACTTCGAATGAGTTCTGTCCACCGTACCACTCACTCCGTGCTCCTGCCAGGCTTCTCATTCAAGGCCAAGGCTGAAGAAGTTGAACCTGGGCCCCGCGGCACGGCGCGTTTTTCTAAGCTGTGCCCAGCGAGGTCTGGGCGAGCTGACCCAGGTCTGGGCAACTGAGAAGGTATATATATATATATATACGGTTACCGTAGGTGAAGCAGGTGAACCGCGCCTTCTCACACTCCATGGAAGAATTCGCCCATGTCCGCCAGCCGTTTAGGACCCCGCCAGATCTAGGCACCAGGACCCGCAGGACCTTCCAAGTTCGGTGCGTTTTTTTGATGCCCCGAATCACCTCTCGGCTATACAAACACCTCAGAAGGAAGGTCCTGGTATAACGATTCCATGGAGATCCATGGAGTGTCCCCTTCGGTGAGCCCTTCGGTGACCCCCTGCACCCACGAACGGCGGGTTCACCACTGATCCCAAGGACATCTACCTGTCCTGATCGGGTCCGACATGTGCATCTCACACCCAAACACACAGTGGTTGATGATAACTAGATACGGCTTCGGAACATGCATGATTTGACAAAGCCTTCTGGACTGCAATGGAACGCAGGCCGATAGTTAGGTTGCACCGACTTTTACAGGACAGACTGGACCCAAAAACACGGAATGACGTCTGGAGTCGATGGTTGTCGGTCCTTCTTTGGAATCCATACACGGAAATAAAGAGCCAAACACTTCATGGATGAATGTGTGGCATATTTACCTACAGTACATGATTCCATACATGTCCACACTAGTACAATCTATCTACATGGGGTGTCTGGGACCCTGGGAACTCCACTAGCCACGCATGGGGTGTCTGGCGCAACTACACCAGTCCCACCACTCGACCTTCTTCAGCGACCGGTCATGATCGGTCATGGAAGGACACTCATCCCAGTCACCCCGAGGATGGATGCCAGTGATCCAAACATCTCCAAACCACCTGAGAACACCTGAGAAAACGAGAAGTTCCATGTTTTTCGATCTGCGTAAGACTGACTTGGAGAAGAAGCATCTCATCTGACCCTCTTCACAAGTCTGGGACCCTGGATGACCCCGGTACCGCACTGGGACCTAGTCGACGTCTGTGCCCTTCTGAATGACTCTGCCATGCAGGGCTTCGGTGACCGGAATGTTCGGTCACCGAGAAGCGAATGAAACATGTCCGACTCTCCCAAACAGTCTGACGAAGAGGCAGGAGACTGGGGCCTTGATGGATGGAACCAGCAGCTATGGCAGCTATAGCCGCTATAGTATAGCTATATCATGTTAACTATGTTATATATAATATATATATATATATTATATCTCAAACCTGCCCCTTGTTTACGTACCCCTCCGTTTTGAGAGCTTTGCTATAGATCCATTGGCCGCAGAAAAAGACACGCATGGAATCCAGTGCAAACGAATTGCAACCCCACAGCCTCGAGAGGTGGATCAAAACACTGTCAGCTTTTTGAGATGCGAAAAAAGGCTATACCCGTCTAGACACTCCATGGGTATATAGACACTCCATGGTTTGCCGACAGTCCTGAAACCACACCAACGTATAAATATGTCCATCGTATGCCATACATGGAGCATCGATGTTGGTTCTGGATGCACTCTTTTGACCAACTGCTGAAACCTGTTCCAAGACCACTTGCGCCGCCCCATGTCACGCGAAGGGGAACGGCTCATCTACCGCCTGAGCTACCCCGGCTCATCTTCCGAGCGCTTAACACCAGCTTCGAAGAGGAACGGCTGTTTGGACCACTGGGCCCCGGGCCTCAGAGGTGGGGTCGGGTCCGGGCGGGCTGGCTAGCGGCTACAGGGTCCGGGTCACGTCGGTTCGTTCGCTGTGTTTGAGGCGCTGATGTGGGCCTGCGGGGCTAGCGGGCTTCTCAAAGAAGGGAGAGTGTTTAAAAAGAGCCTTTCAGTTCAGACCTGCATGGAATAGTACGAGGCATTTTCCCCATGTATGACCATACCTACCGTGCCTGCAAGTCACTCTTCCATATATCTTGGATGGTCAGCTGGGGGTTCTACTGCGCTCACCAGGTGTTCGGTTGGGCGTCTGCTGGGGGATGCGATGCTCGGTGCACATCCATCTTCGATCCTTTGAGCTCTACACCACAAACACCGTGGGCCCGGTTTGGATGAAGCCCCATCTCTACCAGGCCGACATCCATCTCTTCCGTTTGGGCCCCATATATAGGGATCCAGTCGTGCCTACTTGAGACGGTGCGACTGGACCCTCCAAGACCTACATCACAGTGTCTCCAATCACCTGAGAAGGTACTTGGAGTCCAGTCCAACATTAGTGATGTTCTTGTGAAACCTGACGGCTCGTTCCAGAGTTCCTGGGACATCCCCAGGCCCCATGGGAATTGCTAACATGATTCTTCAGTGGGGTGGGCCGATGGTCTGCAAATGCACGAGAGGGTGAACGGTGTGAAAAACCAAAGATGTTCCATGAACCTCGAGGTTCGACCGTTGAACGAAGTGCCAACCACACCGGAACAAACCGACCATTCCATTTGAAGCAACAAACATCCCAGGAGATCGCCGCTCGATTCAGAACCAACCGGAACAAACACCATCCACACCACCGGGCGAGTTCATCACTCGCAACAGAGTTCCCACGCCGCAATGGGAAGGCTCGCGGAAAGCCGCCAGTGTGGATGATCGCCCCGAACGGGTGACCAAAGGTCCCCGGTAATCCAGAGGTGATGCTCAACAAGGAGAGTCACAAGCAAACATGAACATGGGGTTCGAACGGGGCGGTTTTGCCCAAATTGGTTTGGTTCAGAACATCGATGGAACTTGTGAAAGGTCACTAGTTCAAAACAAGATTGGTTCCTTCATGTTTGTTCCATCAGTTTACAACCCGGTCACCTCACCTCAGGTCTCAAAAACAACCCATTGCAACTCCTTGGACCTTTTGAGTAAACAAACACCTACTAAGTTCTACCAAGAACTAACCACTCCCCACACACCCCACCCCGCCCCGCACAATTCACCGCGTGTTGTTCTCCCCCCAACCGCGTGACCGTGACTTCTCTCCCGCTCCCGAAGTATAAAAGAACGCAAAACCCACCAATCGCCCAGTCCAGTGGCTGCGCGAACCATTTCGGGCGCTCAACTTCGAGGAGGAACGGCTCCCGGGCCGCGGCGAGGGCGAATGGCCCTTGGAGGAGGCCCGGCTGCCGGGCCCAGGGCCTCGCTCTGCGAGGAGGAGACCGGTGGAGAAGACCGGTGGAGACGTTGGGATCACCAGGAGCAACAGGATTTGCACTGTCTCTTTTGTCTTCGAGCTCCAAGAAGCTCTGGAGTTGGGTGGCCTTGATCCAAGAAACAAATCCCCAAACTCCGACATGAGAGATTGAAGCTGGTCGATCTATGGAAGTATGAATGCTCCTCTTACAAACATGTCAGGCCTTGGGCCCTGCTTCCCGTCGCCGCCCCGTAGTCCTTCCATTGAAAATCCTTTTGAAAAAGACATGAGCCACCAAAAGCTGCAGCCGCTTGCAACTGCCAAAGAAAACGCCTCCTCTTTGCGGTCTATTTGAACAACATGTTTGATTTTGCATGATTTTGCATCACTCTGCCTAATGTGCGTACGTGCGGTTTGCCAGCATGTAGTCAAAGCAACCTAACGCGCGTATGTGCGCTTCATGTCGATGCGGGCCCTCAGGGTGTGGTCCGTGATTTCAGAATTTAGACGGGTCTTGTCTACGTACCATATGTCTTGAAAAGTCCAAAAGGATGCAGGTTATATTGCTCAGCTCCAGCGAAATGGACAGCTCCAGAAAAACATAGTACGTCCCAAAAAATGAACATTAATATATATTATATATATATTATATTCCTCTACTATATAGGTGGGGATACTTTTTACAACTATACGAGTAGGAAATCCCGAAAAGGATGTGAGGAGGATGTCTCAACCTGACCAACTCCGTCACATAGAACCTGAAAATAAAAGAAATCCTCGAACCACTGCTTTTGAACGATGCGTCTCAAATAAGGGGGTTCCCGAAATATCGGTTCGGAAGTCCAGAACCACGCGCTAGCAAAATCCTTATGCTGGTTCCTCTCTTGCGGCTTCTGAGGCTCTGCTTTTTCTGAAGAGAGAGGAACAAAAGCCCCAGGCACCCGAGACTCCCTTGGCTCCAAGGCCGCAGGCTCCCTCCTTCGTCCCAGCAACTCCGCAACTTCCGAACTCCGTGGCTGTGCGACTGGCTCCGGGCCGAGAGCCGCAACTCCTGAGGCGCAGTCTCTGGACTGAGCGATCCCAAGCGATCAAACTGGAATAGCATGGCGTTGATCCCTTTTCAAGCTATGAAAGCTATGGACCTCTTGATCTTCATCGTTTCTTGGTATACGCCTGGATTTCCCCGGTCTACAATGGCAGATCTACATCCGACGGACCCAGAATCCCGGCCTCATGGTCACCTGGCATCACGGTGCGGGTAGAGGATGGTACAGGGTCGAGCCATGACATTCCACTTTGAAATAGTTATACCAACCACACACACACACATGAGGGTCCTTTTCAGATTGGCTTAATTGCATGCAACTAATGACCATTACATGTCCATTCCATTGCAGAACAATGGTCAAAGGGCAGGGGCCATTGTCCACTTCCATGATGGAACCTTTGGACCATGATTCGGCGTCCAACTATCCACTGCAGTCGGTCACTCTATCCAATGAGGTGACATCTCGAGAACAAGCGCCGGTCACGACGTAGGCGACTTCATCCGTGGTCCACTTCGATCCCATGACTTCATTCCGAGAAATCAGCTGGGTCACAGGTTAGACAAATCGCTGTGTCACCAACCCATGGCCCAGTGATGATCTTGGATGGAACATGTCACCCTAAACACTCCATATATGGGACTGGCATATCACGGCCTAAGTTCTTCACCTCCAAACTAATCAGTCAAACCTACTAAGGAACCTCCAGCCAGGGCACCCCTGGAAGGTCCAGGTACATTCACCTCGTATATCGTATTGCCTCCTTTATTTCCTGTTTGTTTCAGCGTAGAAAGAATATCCGGCCCAGTTTTGCGCCGTCATTGCCAAGATTTTGAGCCAAAGCCAGATCCCCGTGGATGGGCTGTCTCCTTTACCAGACTAATTTTTACAGGAGATTGGCCCACTAATCCCGAGTACCTATTAAAAAACGGACCCCTATTAGAAAAAAGTCATGTCAGAAACCCCTAAATACGGTTTATATTTGTTTTTAAATTACCGCCCTTTCAAGCCGCTACTAAACTACCAACATTGCCGACTTTGGAGGAGTTTTGTTTATTAGGTTCCAAAAACAACCGTAACTGCCAACCTCTGTCCGCCCTGTCTATCCACCATGACACGCCGCGCTTACACCAGCAGGCTTTCCTTCCCCCAATGGCACGGACTCACGCAAACGCACTTGCCACCGAGGTCATGCAACACCGCATGGCACAGCGACATCACCTTTCGAAAGCTTTAGCTGTTAGTCTACTGAAGAATCACTATTCTAATGAAGGTTTTTGTAGGGGAAAAGGAAGACCCTTCGATCTGGAGCTTTTTTGCACTTTTGATATGAATTCAATAAAGGATTTTATATAAAATTTTACGGATTTACTTTTTTGTTTTGAAGCTCTTCCCAGGTGACCCTATTTTGGACCCCCCCCGATTTCAGGGACCCCCTATTAGAAAAAATGCGACCGAGGTTTCCTTATTTGGGGGGGGGGGGGGGGGGGGCCCGTGTTTTTTAATAGGTGGACCGGATTAATCGCAGAGTTTGGCACATCTGCGACCATGGGGGCAGACTACGGCAATCGACCGTGACGCCTTGCATTAATTCATAATTAGGTGAGCGGCTACAGACAACAGTCGACGGCAAGCGCAAGAGTCGAGAGTAGAAAGCCGGTGATCTTCCATACATCACTTGCGCTTGGATAGTCTCTTGGAAGAGACCATTTGTTGAGACAGTCCCCGAGACCGTTGAGTCTCCAATCTGTTCTCAGTTCTCTCCGACCGTCGACACGGTTCGGTCTCGCTCGAAAACGCTTCGCGACCCTTCCGTGGTTGGTTTTCCAACGGACCGGCCCTGAATGTCCGGTCTTTGACCAAGGAATCCGGTTGTACCAAGGGTTTGGGACAAAAGAACCTGGGAAGACGATTCCAAGGAATGCGCGCGCACCAGTGATTCCAATGGATTTTAGACTGCAACCAAGGCGAACTCTTTTGATCCCAGAAACTCCATGTCTGAAATAGCTCCTGGAACAAAACCACTTGCATGGGTCCTCTCCGGACCTATCCGGATGCAAGAGGATGTACCTCTTCCAGTGCGTGAAAGCTCGGACTGACTGCGCTCGATCGCCCGCCTTGGCTTCGGGGTCGTCCGAGTACGCCCGGCTCCGACAGGTTCCGCTCGACGACCGCCACGAGGTCTTGGGCGGTGTAAGGCCGCGAATCCTGCCGGCGGCACCGACGGGAGGAAGGCGGCACCCTACGGTGGACCGTCGTGGTTTCAAAGGGGAAGAGGAGGAGCTTGATCAAAGAGTGGATGATGATGGTTAGGTTGCAGGCCTTAATCTCTAAAACAGAGATCACATCTTGCCGACTGTAACAGGTTTCCGGGGACATCACCCAAATCAACCGCTCAGTACACGGCGTACTAAACGGCGTACACGAGTGGCACTGGATAAATCGATGCACAGGGAAGTCACCCAAGGCCAGGGAGGAAAAATAATGCATTTAATAAGCCATGCAAAACCAGGATAAAACATTTGCCAAAATGGTTTTAGGTACCTACAAGGGGGAATTTGAGCGAGCAGCTAAGAGTCTTGACAAGGACACCGGGAACAAGGTCCCAGGGCATATGACATGTCCCTGCTGCACAAAATGTGGATGGCCTGCCAAAGCTGAGGATAAATCTTCTTCGACTGGTGTTTCTAAGCCGTTAGTGTATGTTATTGTGATATATCATATGTTGCGTATTGTTGTGTCAAGTAACTCCAAAGTCCTCAATTTGAGACCTCCAATGAAGTTATATAGATCTGACATTCTGACAGACTTGAACTGGCATCTAACTATATAACAAATACTACACTGTTTATCGAATTTGGTCTGGTCTCCCTCTCTCTCGCTCTCTCTTCCCCTATCTTCACAAGTATATCACCTTAGAAAGGAAAGGTCAATTGTGAAGGGAGTCCTGGTCCAAAGAGACATATGGACTCCAGAAAGTCCACCTCTGAGCTCCGAAGCAGAACATATCAAGCACTGGCCATCATCCAGAGTCACAGAGCTCGGGGTAACACTCTTCAGTCCTCAAGTGTGACTGGGGCACCCCGACGGCACCCTCCATGGAGTCCGCACCCCGAGCTCTGTCACTGCTGGCGGGGAGATGTTACAGAAACACTTGGTCCCTATGGATCCACATGCCGAACCTGAGAAGGTGAGGACGGAGACTATTTATGTATAGGCTTGGAGGGTCCAATGATCTTCTCAAGAGGTATGTGGATCCATTACGGGGTATATGTTGTTGCCTGCTCGGTGGAGGGTGACCCTGTAATGAACGAACCACGCCTTTCGTTGCGGAGCCGTCGCCCCGGGTCGGAGCGTCGCGATGGTTCTGCTAGCCGTCCCCTGAGAAAAACCCATGGTCCCTAAAGCCAAGTCAGGCAAACGCCTGAAGATCCGCTATGGGCTATGAGTGAGTATTGCTTGATCTGTGCTCACTCTTGACTCGAGGAGTGGATGCTTCAGTCCAAGGGAACCAAACCCCACGCAGCCACGCACTTCCAACCTCGTTTTGGCAAACAACTCGTCGCTGACGCTGGTGGTCAGTGACAATCACGACCGGATCCAGGATGACCGGTCGCGACCAAACGAGGTCGGGTCGGTTCTGAGTCGACCGTGGTCAATCGACCGTGGTCGTGTGGCGAAGGTCGATCGTGAACGCCGTGCGACGACGGCCCTGGCACCATCTCCCACACATGTTGCATGTGAAACAGCTTTAGGGATTGGCACCATCGATCTGAGGATGGTATGTCAGTCCAAACGACAAACGATGAATCGAAACGCAGAAAAGTGCTGGCACTGGGTTTTCAGTGGTGGTGTGAGACAATAGACTTATTATGACTTATTTAACATCATATCATCATCATCATCATCATCATCATCATCATCATCATCATCATCAT